CTTTTCCCTTCTTTTTCTTCTTTTTTCTTTTTTTTTTTTTTTTTTCTTTTTTTCTCTTTAAGTTCTTGCATGGTTTGTCATTCGAAAACAATCAATGGTAATTTTTTTCAAGAAAAATTTAACAAACGACTGCCTCCGATATGGGATTCTCGGTGATGTGTATAGTCGCGGTGGGCCAGTCGATTTTCTTACTGCAAACATGATTCAATCCCTCGAGAGAAGCCAGTCTGTAGTCAGCCATTTTCAACGGTGATAATGGTGCCACTGTAAAGAAAAATAAACGAAAATTCCAGGTCAGAGTAATTTGAGTGCTGAATAACATTTTTTTCATCCTCGCATCTAGGTTGTTAACACGAAAGTACCCATATATATATATATATGTTCCGTACATTTGAAAGAAGTAATTTGTATCGTAATTAGAGAAAAAATACGGAACATAAAAACATGAAAAAACGAGATAGATTCAATCATCGACTTAGTTTCGATCATCGAAAGAAAGAAATAAAAATAAAATTAAAACAAGACTAAAAGAATAAAGGTAGAAAGGCTTGCATGCAAAACGAGAAACGAAAAATTAGAATTATGTGTGTGTTAGAGTGAAACTGTTTTATGTGCAAAGCATGTGAATCGGAATCGGCACAATCTGTTGTTCGCTATTCTACTGCCCAGTAATGTGCGGAGTTTTTATTTCGTTGCATGTTTTAATAAACTATCTGTTAATGTCCCACACATGAGTAAATGCTGCTACAAGAAAATAGATTAAATACTCTTGCATTTGGAAATAGCCTGTGCATACGTTCATTAAAAGATCGATTTCTACGAGGAAATGATATAAAGCTCTAGAAAGATTTCTGATTTATCGTTGATTGATAAGGTTATTTCATACCAACTATCGATAAAAAAAATTAAGAACTCAGTCGATAAAACTTTACCATGATCTTGTAATCCTAGTAAATGAATCCTCTTTTCGTAGTGAAAATATCGAGAAATTCATTAAATAAAAAGTTAGTTAAACAAATGTATGAATGTGCGATGCAATTTTGAACTAATCCTCTCGCTGTAAGTAACGATATACTCGATACATTTTAATTACAATCGCTAAAATTGTGCCATCAATTTCTCTGTGTATAAACAAAATTTTCATTCATCATGTATAATTTTACTTGAAAATTGTATTTCATTCCAAGATAAATAACATAACAGCGAGAAGGATAATGATTCTAAGATAATGATCTAAGATCTGAGATATAAAAAATGCACGAGAGTTTAGTAAGTCCGAAGAGATAAACCCACAACATCAGCACCCCGGAAGAATTAGCATCGTTTAAAAAAAAAAAAAAATGTACAATTAATTAGTTGCCTTTTGGTAATCCTTCAGAGATATAGATAGAGAGAATATGCCCGAGGTCGTCCAAGATATGTTAGTCGTGATACATCATCGTCGGTTAATACTTCCCGATAAAAGTTTGAATTCCGACTTACTTAACACATAGACGTGGCCTAACTGACCAACTGCGCGCTTGACTCCTTGCGGCCTTCAATTCCTAATTACAATTACCTTCGGGTGTTGTCGGCGTCACGGGCTTCCGCGGGGATCTCACCACTAAAAGGCACAAAGAAAAACAAATTTTCTTTAAAACATTCAAAAAACAAATAATGGATCATAACGTAGCGTAGGCCATAGCGAACGTTCTCATAATTCTCTCTTTTTTTTCTTTCTCTCTCTCTCTCTCTCTCTCTCTTTTTCATCGAAAAAAATCATTCTCGGGTGCGATGCATCGCTAGGCCGTTTCTCGTGTAATTAATACATTAAATAATAAAAATTAAGCAACGATTTTCGATCGCGATTGTCGTCCATGTTCATGATTTTTCGTGCAAAGCAATGAGAAATTATATTTTTTATTTGGAATGAAATGAATGAGTCGTAAAACAAAAAAAAAAGGGGGAGAGGGAGGAAGGAAATATGCTTTGGCTGTTCATATATAGCAAATAATTTTGATCAAAAATTCTAATGCTACATATCCTTTTTTTTTTTTTTTTTAAACAACTAAAGCGTAAATTTTCCTGATATTTATTATGAACGAAATTTGAGAACAAGACACGTCTACGTTATAAACTTTTGTCTAAACTACTTAAACGATAGCGTGATCCTTAGCACTAGCAATAAGTAATTGAGAAGCAAAACAAAATAGCCAAAAAGCCGATACTACTTTACTGACTACTTCAGTTGATAGCACTAGATATTAATATATACGTACCACTCGATCGATCCGAGACGCGTGGGAAATAAAGGCGCAAG